TCCCCAAATCTCCAAATCCTCGACTGCCTGTGTATCCGATGTTCTGAAATGTACAAACGTGCCTATGTATCCGATGTTCCAAACTGAACCTCATGTCTATTTCGTGTCTATCTATTCGATTGTTTATTTCACAAGATGAAGGCATGAGTATACAATCTTTACGAACAAGGCTGCGAGAAACAGTTCCTGACTTCTATTGGGTACACAAATTCGGGTGGAAATGAAAAACCGAGTGACTGCGGTGGTCTATTCCTCAAAAGTGACCGTAGGAAGTAATAAAAGCGATATCAACAAGAAATAGGAGACTGCAAATAAGGGTCTCTACTACTAAGATTAAGGGTTCTGGCAAGCACATGTGAATAATAATAAACTAAAAATACTCGGTAGAATGTAACAACTCCTGCTGCTACAGGTAACCTATTGACTTGAACCTCCACAAAGTGTACGGATAAAGTGAAAACGATATATTATTGTATCAATAGAAACTTGGGTCGAGGTCTAATCCGCTTGCCATGGTATTGCCTTCTAAGACGTAACATAAACTGTACTGTATCAAATATCAAATGATACGTACAACTTTTCTTTTATATCTAGAAATATAAAGATAGATATTTGATTGCTACCTTGTAGCAATTTCAGGAATTTGTATTTTGGTTTGGCTGCATAGCTTTCATGCATGTAATACTATCTTATGTTCAAGTAAAATGGTAATAAAGATAAGGTACATGTCTGAGGTACTTAAATGGTTCAATTTTAGTACGAAGTAAAATTTTCGTCGTCAATACTGATAAGGGTGGGATTCCCTAGGGAAAGTGATGATGTAGGTCACTCTACCAATTTTAGATTATTCATTTTAACTCAGGTATTAGGTAATACTTAGGTGTTTAATCTAAGACCTAATAAATGACATCCGAGACCGATATTGAAGATGACCTAATTTCGACAGCAATCACAAAAAATACAATTGAAACGGATTATTTGTAACTAAATTAGCGTGGTGAGTCGAAACCTTTAGCCGTTGTCTTATAAGGGCTTTCAAACATCGACCATTTTAGTGGTGCTATTCGTGAAAAGCCGCTAATTAAAACACAGAATTTTCCTTCTGAAACTGTTGCCGCGAGCGCTGGGTTAAATACTCTTAATTTAGTCTAATTTTCCAAGCGTATGAAATAAGCTGTTACGCGCTAAAATCTCAGACCTTTTGTTTTTATTTGTGCTCGTGAATTTAATATTCCGTGGTATTCAGGGGATTTTGTTTTGTAAGCCTGCTAATAAATTTTCTGAATCGTGCTTTTAATTGCATTTAGCAGGTACACTCAGGTGAAACGTAGGCATCTTTTTAATTGGGATGAGTGTAAGAGAGTAGTCTGTCTTTTGGGAGTGTGCAGGTTTGAACATATTTTAATGAACGAATTTCTAGGTTTTGTAGTTCAAAATAGACTTTTATTTCTTCAAGTCGTAAAATGTTTCAATTGTTAAATATTGTAATCATTAAATTTTCGATATCTTTGATCACAAATTTTTAATTTTAACATTTTTAAAATTTCAAGTTTCTAAGTTTCCAAGTTCCTAAGTTTCTAAGCTTCTGAGTTTCTAAATTTCTAAATTTCCAAATTTCCAAATTTCCAAATTTCCAAATTTCCAAATTTCCAAATTTCCAAATTTCCAAATTTCCAAATTTCCAAATTTCCAAATTTCCAAATTTCCAAATTTCCAAATTCCCAAATTTCTAAATCCCTAAACTCTCAAATTTCCAAACTTCCATATTCCCAAATCCCCAATTCCCCAATTCCCCAATTCCCCAATTTCCCAATTCCCCAATTCCCCAATTCCCCAAATCCCCAAATTTCTAAATTTCCTACTATCTAAATATCTAAATTTTCTAATACCCAAATTTCTACATTTCCCAATTCCCAAATTTCTAAATTTCCCAGTTCCCAAATTTCTAAACTTCCCAATTCCCAAATTCCTAAATTTCCCAATTCCCAAATTTTCAAATTTCCAAGTTCCTACATATCCACATTTCTAAGTTTTCAAGTTTCCAAGTATCAAATTTCCAATTTTTTAGATTTTGAATCGTTTTAATTTTCCAATTCTCCAAATGTTCAATTCTCCAATTTCCAAATTCCCAAACTTCATAATCTATGTATAAATTTTTGAGTTTTAAAATTTTCATATTGCTGAGTTCCTAAATTTCCCAATACCCAAATCCTTAAATTCCCAACTTTTGAGGTTAGCAAATACCTAGACCCATCTATTGCCTTCAGTATAAGCATAGTTTTATTATCAGCAGACTGGAACTATAAATATGTTAACACATGAAACGGATGTTTACGCTTCTGAAGACTAGTTAGGTTGGTCAAGAAAATTTATGATGTGTGGATGATCTAGATTAGCACAAATTATATTGATCGAAGCTGAAGATATAGTGACACATTTCTTCGATATTTCATTTAATCAAATTATTGAAGACTAATAGAAAGTGGTTACTAAGGAAAAATTAAGGATTACTTGTCTGATGATAATCTATGACAGTACGGCTCCATCTTTATCTCCTGATAAATAGTGCTTGGATTACAGAGTATATTTTTCTGTCGCCTGACGTGGGTAAGAGGTGGTAAATACTGGTGTATATTAATGACTGTATAGTTTTGTTTATGAGATCTTGCAAATTTTTATGTTTCTAATTTTTCAGTTCCTCAGTTCTTCAATTTTTCAATTCTTCAATTCTTCAAATTTTCAATTCTTCGATTCTTCAATTCTTCGATTCTTCAATTCTTCAATTCTTCAATTCTTCAATTCTTCAATTCTTCAATTCTTCAATTCTTCAATTCTTCAATTCTTCAATTCTTCAATTCTTCAATTCTTCAATTCTTCAATTCTTCAATTCTTCAATTCTTCAATTCTTCAATTCTTCAATTCTTCAATTCTTCAATTCTTCAATTCTTCAATTCTTCAATTCTTCAATTCTTCAATTCTTCAATTCTTCAATTCTTCAATTCTTCAATTCTTCAATTCTTCAATTCTTCAATTCTTCAATTCTTCAATTCTTCAATTCTTCAATTCTTCAATTCTTCAATTCTTCAATTCTTCAATTCTTCAATTCTTCAATTCTTCAATTCTTCAATTCTTCAATTCTTCAATTCTTCAATTCTTCAATTCTTCAATTTTTCAAATCTTCAAATCTTCAATTCCTCAATTCCACACTTCTTCAAGGTTTCAATTTTACTATTCTTCAATTCTTGAAATCTTTGATCTCTCAATTATTTGATCCTTTAATTTTTCATTTCATCTGTTTTTAAATTTTTCAATTGTTACATTTTTTAATTTTCGATGTGAGCATTTTAAGTGCTTAAATGTTTGGACATGCAAACATTCAAATGCTCCTTTAAATATTCAAATATTCAATTATTCGAATGTTCATGTGTTTAAATCGTTAAATGTTCAAGTGTTCAAATATTCATTTAAATATTCCAGACGTTGAAATGTTCGAATATTAAAATGTTCAAATGTTCATTTAAATATTCAATTGTCCAATTGTTCATTTAAATATTCAAATGTTCAATTGTTCGAATGTTCCAACGTTAGAATATTTAAATATACTAGTCTTTGAATATTCAAGTGTTCAATGTTCATATATCTAAATATTCAGATCATAAAATGTTCAAACGACCATGCAAGAAACGCGGAAGGCTATAGTTCTGTAATTATGCACGCCAGTATAGATCTGATCTTTATTCAGCGGCAAACAGTACTTCATATACAATCATTTTTGTTACTCGGTACAGATAAGAGTTAATAAACGGAACAACCACATTAACGATGTCTACTTCTTCTTCTACTACGTCTTTCATCCCTGTGGTACAGGAAATATGTTGTCCTGATAGAAATCTCGAATGCTGGTACAGCAAGACGTTGCGAATCAACCTTCGTCCTCTTCCGATGAAGCTTACCCCCGTTTCCGTTGCAAACTCTGACCATTTTATATCTTGCGAACTCGGCAAAACGATTTCACCACTCGAATTTTTGTCACTACAAAATCATTCACTAAAGTGTGCAGAATATTTACAGATACATCACAGTTTTCTGATTCTATGTGGTTTCTTTTTGTGGAAATATTTTAGCATAAAATTTACTTTGACCTGGATTCTCTAAGTTAATGTGATTTTTTGTTGGAGAAATTTATCAGAAAATTTACTTTGACCTTGAATCTCAAAACCAATGCAATTTTTTCTTGTTGAAGAAATTGATCACAAAATTTACTTTGACCTTGAATCTCAGAGTCTATACAATTTTTTCTTGTTGAAGAAATTTAGCACAAAATTTACTTTGATCTTGAATCTCAGAGCCTATATACTGTTTTCTTGTTGAAGAAATTTAGCACAAAATTTACTTTGACCATAATTTTCAAAATCAACGTAATTTCTTCTTGTTAAAAAAATTGTTATCAGCTTTTGTATCACTTTTTTATTATCAAGTTGTTATTCATATTAAAGCCAATATATGAATGAAAGTAGCATTGTAATTATTGTTAATTTCTGGGCAATTAATTATGACACATTTTGTCAATAAATCATTTATGGACGATATTTTTAATTTGCCTTACAAAAGATTTTTCTAACAAATTTCATTTTGACACAATTTGTGTTAGACACTTACTTTTTCAATTATCAATGCACCTTTTATGATCAATAATAAAAATTGAATATCACTGCATCTTCTATTATCAATAATAAAAATTTAACATCACTGCACCTTCCATGAACAATAATAAAAATTTAACATTTTTTCTCAACAAAATGATTGAGTTTCCACTTATAGTTCCTTCGAGACTTTTAATTCGTGCATCAAGTATCATAGAATCCAACAATAAAAATATTTAACCTTGAATTTCAAGGTCAAGGTTAAAGGTAATTATTGAACAATTTATGATTACATTATATTATTATTTACCGGGGACGTATAATAATGTTATTCTGGTTGCAATATATAATTTTCAGATGCCCTGTACATACTCGTACGTCATCAAAGGAACGCACCTGTTTGGAAACCGAACTGGTGCTTTGGTTATGCTATAGACGAATATATACGTGCACGTACATGTCTTGTCAGTGGTAGATAGATTGATGCATGCATAATCGATGCAAGCGTACGTGTTGAGAAAGCGTTATTGTTGAGAACATCAATTATTGGTCAGAAGTCTTGAGATGTTACTAATATTTCGTTGAATTTTACGGTGAATATTCCATGAACGATGAAATTGTAATGGCTTTTGTTGTTTAATGGACGCTGGTAGAAAGTTCTAGGTTCATGCTAGGTAGCTCTAACTTTTGGTGGACAGGAGACAATAAATACATAACTTCATATCTCTAAGGAAATTAATATTTGTTATGTTTTATACTATTAGTAATAGAACTTTACTAAGTATTTTGGAAAATTGTTTCTAAATGTATATCCACCATTCTTTAATTTTCAGCAAAATCAAATTTTTAAGATTGAGAATTTTTGCTGCGATCACTGCAAGAATTATACACATTTATTTTACAGAAAATGATCCCATAAATCTCTGCAAGCAAAGAAAACTACTACAATAGAATACAAAATAATTTTATAATGATTTGTGATGATTATAGTGATTTAAACATGTTTGAACAATGTTTAAAGAGGATGTGACATATGTTACGTCTTTATTTTATCAGTTAATATAAACAAGTAATAGTTAAACGGGTAACTATATCAACGGCATTTACGTAACGGGTAATTATCTGACTGGTATTTATTGGGCAGGTATTTAGCTGACCGGTGATTAGTAGTAGGTAACTAAATATTGTGAATATTTCAGGATTTAATATTTCTTGACGATGCTGTAATATTAATAATTTATTGTATGAATTAATCATTAAATAATCGGATTATTATATGATCTGATTTATGAAATGACTAAGTATAATAACTTGTATATGTTAGTTGGAAATTCGGGAGATTTTAGGTTTGGCAAATTTGGAAACTGGAAATGTAGAAATTGAGGAACTAAGGAATTTAGAAATTTGAAAATGGGGGATTTGAAAAGTTAAGGTTTTATGATATAGAAACTTGAGAATTATTGATTTTAAAGATTGGAGTATTTGGATATTGGAGCTTCGAAAATTATAGATTTGAAAATTTGAAAATTGGAGCTTTGAAGATTGAGAAATTTGAGGATTTGACAATTTGAAAATTTGAAAATTGTGGAATTTGAGAATTTGAAAATTTAAAATTATAAATTTGAAAATTGGAGCTTTGAAAATTGAGAAATTTGAGAATTATAGACTTGAAAATTGGAGTTTTGAAAATAGAAAAATTTGAGGATTTGAAAAGTATACAGAAAATCGAAAATTTTAATAATTCAAAAATTATGGATCTGAAAGTTTGAAAAGTACATTTAGAAATTTCTGCTAAATGAAAAATAGTTTCTTTAAACAGACAAGCATTTTAATAACGTATTTCATAACAAGGTTTCCCGCAACACAATATATAATACATTTTTTAGATAATACGAACACCGTGCAATTTATAAAAGCATTTTTAACAAGCGCGAAGGTTAAAAGAGGTGTTATTCGTTTAACAAACTGACCCGTTGATTGCTCTCTGGTCAAAGAAGTAATCTACTCTGCGATGAATCTCGTCCCAAACGTGCTATTTCACAAATAATCACAGTACATTTTTTACGAGCATTGGGACAATTCAACGAACAAATCTCGTGACTGTATAATCGACACATTGCTGCGTTTATGTCTTTTTGTCTGTTACGTATATAAACTGGAATAACACTCAGCAAACACCATCCAATTTCATTTATATTTAATTACATCTGAAATGTGTTTTACGAAATTCATAGATAATTATGGTAGTTTGCTGATTACGGATTTTGGAAATTTATGAAATTTATGAAATTTGTGAAATTTGTGACATATGTGAAATATGTTAAATATATGAAATTTGTGAAACATGTGATATATGTGACGTATGTGAAATATGTGACGTATGTCAAATATGTGACATATGTCAAATATGTGAAATTTGTGAAACGTGTGACATATGTGATGTATGTAACATATGTGACATATGTGACATATGTCAAATATGTGAGATATGTGAAATATGTGAAATTTGTGAATTTGTGAAATTTGGAAATATGAGAATGCAAATGGAAATTTGAGAATTTGAGACTTTAGAAATATGAGAATTTAGGATTTTGCGAATTTAGGAATTTGGAAATTCGGAAATTCGGAAATTTAGAAATTTAGAAATTTAGAAATTTAGAAATTTGGAATTTTGGAAATTCGGAAATGTACAAATTTAGTGTTGGAAGTAACGGACAAAACAAATGAACTGCGCTATGCGCGTCCGAACACGCATCACGATGCTTCGTCTAGCAGTTACAGTTATACCTTCGTCAACGAAGCACCGCGCATTTTTGTAAAGACATTTTTATACAATTAAAGTATTTTCCGTTCACCTCAGCACTGCAGTTTGTTTTCCTGGAGCTAATCCTAACATTTAGAAATTTGGAAATTTGGAAATTTGGAAATTTGGAAATTTGGAAATTTGGAAATTTGGAAATTTGGAAATTTGGAAATTTGGAAATTTGGAAATTTGGAAATTTGGAAATTTGGAAATTTGGAAATTTGGAAATTTGGAAATTTGGAAATTTGGAAATTTGGAAATTTGGAAATTTGGAAATTTGGAAATTTGGAAATTTGGAAATTTGGAAATTTGGAAATTTGGAAATTTGGAAATTTGGAAATTTGGAAATTTGGAAATTTGGAAATTTGGAAATTTGGAAATTTGGAAATTTGGAAATTTGGAAATTTGGAAATTTGGAAATTTGGAAATTTGGAAATTTGGAAATTTGGAAATTTGGAAACTTGGAAATTTGAAAATTTTGAAAGTTGTGTACTTAGGATTTTGAAAAGTTCGTCACATGAAAATTGAGTAATTTGAAGGTTCAGACATTTAAACATCACAAATCCTCTAATTTTTTTAGATTTCAAATTTTAAATATTTCGGTTTCCAAATATTTCAAATTTTCACTTTCAAAAACTTCACATCCCTATTCTCAAATTTTCTAAATTTCAATTTCAACAATATTTAAAAAATGTTCCTTTCCATAAACCTTTACGTTGCAACCGTTTCCTCAACAAAACCTCCGCATTAACCATAAACCAGAAACAGGAAATATAAAACTTCCAAACCCTCAAACTTTCCTGACTCCTTCCTTCAAATTAAAACATTAAATCTCGAATAGCCTCTTCCTCACCTTGAACGACATAACAAATCCGAAGTCCAGGTTACAGGTCTGACAAGTTATTTGAAACTGTGCAATGAGCAGATAAGAGAATGCTACCCGGTAAAATAATACAGGCAGATTGTAATCCCGGCGTGACTCGTGACAAGCTGACTTATTAAGGATGACTAAGCAACTGAAACGGAAAGTTCACGGATTGTTACGATCGATAACGGGTTACATATCTCCCGATACTATCGAACGATTTCACTGTGCGGCAAGAAATAAATTGAGCTGCCACTCTACGCATCCAACACACTCTCATCGTTATCGAGAGCACGCTTACTTTCGTTTTACCCTCGCATTCTGTGCAATCAACGTCCTCTTGCTAGCTTCGTCTCTAGTTTCAACGTCGAATTTTTTTCGACCCCTTGTTGCGGTTGTATTTTCTCGTCCGTAAGTTGAGAACTTGAAACTCAAGGAACGTCGAGGGTTGCAATATCGATTGAAGTTCCTCGATCGCTCCGGGCGTTAACGACGCGTTCAGACTGTGAGATTCGTTCGAATCGGAAAGTTTCGATGTTCTTAACGGTATTCTGCTCGTGAATCCGTTGAAATTCAAGTGCTTTTAGAAAATACCTGGTGTACATTTTTAGGAACTATAAAAACGATATATTTCTGCCAGGTGTTCGTCGAGTACACTGTGCAACACGTACAGTCAAGCAGATTTTCACGTATAGATAGGGAATCTACAGGCTATTTCAGTAAGGGTAGAAAATAGTTCTGTAGATTTTTAGAAATGGTAAAAACGATATTTTTGTGGCAGGTGTTCGTGGAGTACACTGTATAACAGGTATAGTTAAGCAGATTCTCATATATCAATTAGGGATCTACAGGTTGTTTCAGTAAGGGTAGAAAATATTGTAGTTCTGTACACTTTTAGAAACTAGAAAAATGATATATTTAGCGCAAATGTTTGTGGAGTACACTGTGTAACACATATAGTCAATCAGATTTTCATATATCGATTAGGGATCTACAGGTTCTTTCAATAAGGGTGTAAATTAGATTTTAACGTCTCGATTAGGATTCTGGAAATTGTTGCAATAAGGAAGTAGAACAAATTTACACGTATCAATTAGGAATCTACAGGTCATTTCAATAATTATGTAACACATGTTTCTATGTACTGATGAGGAGCCTATAGGTCATTTCAATAAAGGTGCAAAATAAATTTTCACGTACTGATCAGAAATCTGCAAGTCCTCTTAGTACGAGAGTAGATATTCACGTACCGATTAGGAATCTGTAGATGACTTCAGTACGGACGTAAAACAGACTTTCACTTACCCATAAGGAATCTACAGGTTGTTCCAATAAGGGTGTAAAACAGACTCTCACGTACCGATGAGAAATCTGCAAGTCCTCTCAATAAGTGAGTAAAGCAGATATTCACCCATTAGAAATCTGTAGATGACTTCAACATTAATGTAAAACAAGGTTTAACGAAATCTACAGGTCGTTTCAAAAAAAGAATACAACAATCTTTTATATGAAAGCAATCAACTCTCAATTCTTTGTACTTTGACAACTTTGACATTTGACTTATATAATTTACCTGAATTAATGCACTCATATTGCTTTGTTTAGGTACGTCACTATGTGACATGTGACGGACACATAATTTACCTAAATTAATGCACTCATATTGCCTTGTTTAGGTGCGTCAATATGTGACATATGACACACGCATAATTTATCTAAATTAATGCACTCATATTGCTTTGTTTAGGTACGTCAATATGTGACATATGACACACACATAATTTACCTAAATTAATGCACTCATATTGCATTGCTTAGGTGCGTCACTATGTGACATGTGACACACACATAATTTACCTAAACTAATGCACTCATATTGCTTTGCTTATGTGCGTCACTATGTGACATGTGACACACACATAATTTACCTAAATTAATGCACTCATATTGCCTAATT